TCGGGGAAGATAAAATGGATTGAGGAGATGCTTCAGGGCAGGACTGCCAGAGGGCCTTGGAGGGTTTGAGGCAATTGTGGTAGGAGAATGCTGCCTGGAGGGAAACGATTAGTTTTGACCGTGCCAGGGAGGCAATCTTACCTTGCTCCTGAAAAAACTACTAGTAGGAACTTATTTTCACAGCACCTCTGTGAAATGAGGAGGTGGTTTTGCTCCTGGCTTTTCAGGTCAGTAGCTGTGGCAAGTAAATGGAAGGGAAAATTTTCTGCAGTTTTGGGTGCCAAATCTGCGACCACTTGAAGCTTTTTTTTTTTTTGACAAGTACTAGGACTTTCTGTTAAACACATAACCAGCTGCTGCCTTTATTCGCACTTGCGGGTGCACCACAGCCTGCTATGCCGCTTCCCTGGCCTCCAGTGGCTGTCCATCATGAGGGCAAGGACCAAATCTCATGATGTCTTCATGGCAGGCCAAGACTTAAGCAGTAAGTAAACTACAGAGCCATGCACTAAGTAGGAGGAGAAAATGTGCATTGAATAGCTGTGTGTTCGGAGCCAGTCTTCCGTTCTGGGTGCTGAGTCTTTCTAGCAGACAAGCACTTTATGATCCTGTGGTTAAAGAGTATAAAATAACCTGTATCCACAAAGGAGTCTAATTGAGTTTTACAGCCAATTTCAGTTCTGTGGTTTCTAATGTCTCCATGGCTGACGCTGCAACCTGAGTAACATTTTACCTTTTCTGTAGTGCAGTATATGGCTGTGTGATACCAACATGAAACCAAACCAGTCTCAAGCCAATGTATCAATACAGAGCATTCCTCTGATAGCTTATTTCACCTTTTTAAACCAATAAACATCCTGGGACAGATGGACAAATTAGGTGAGCTCTCCATTTAGTCCTTGAAGTGATTCTCTTAGTTCATATTGACAAGCTCAGATTTGCCATATGGCTGCACTTGCAGGATTTAACACTTACTATATGCCTGTGCTCGGCTTGTGTGGTGACAGCAGCTTTGCCGCATGTGTTGCAGCTGGAAGGTGGCTTGGTGCAAACTTGCAACAAGTCTCAAAATGTTAATTCTCATGGGATAAAGTAACCATCAAGACATTAGCATGCCTGGAAAGGAGAACAAATAAATTTCTGTTCAGCTTGGAAGATACTCTTACCAGGGGAGGTCCTCATGCTGAAGTCTCTGTTGATAGAGGGACAATACACACATATGAACAGGCAGAAAGGGAGCGTTATGCTGACTGTGAAATGGATGCAGAAAATCTCTTGCTTCTGTTATCTCATCACCGTCCTCTTAGCAGCACTCTGCCAGAAGAAACCGCTGCATGCTTGCACATGTGCCCAAGTGAAGGCCTGAAACAGCAGGAGAAGCTCACAGGCTGCATGCAGATGGTAGACAGCCAAAAGTCCGTGGAGTGGGAGTGAAATCCCCAGCATGCTCTGGATCAGCACTCCCAGCCATGCATTAACTGGCAAGAATTGCCAAGGAACTGTGTTGTGCACAGCTGTGTTCCTCGGTGTCCATCCCTGGCACATCTGCCACTGATACTAACTCCACGCTTTGCTTCCCAGCCCAGCAGGGAAGCATTTGCCTTCTGCGCTACTGTTTGCATGGTGCCTGCTGGCATACTGGAGGAGCACCCATGTGTTGCAGGAGGGTATCTGCGCTGCCTGGGGTTGTGCAAAGCGTTTGGATGGTACCTGAGCCTTCATTAAAGCCACCAGCTACATAAGGGACTGCCTCCAGCAGTTCTGGGTCTGCAGACCGGTCTTTACAGTTGCATTCCTGTACCTCTGAGCATCCTGCAGCTTTTCCCTGTGGAAAGGGGATGCCATTTCTCAGCTGCTCTGGCTGTGGGCACACTGTGATGTGTTTTCGTACTTGGTGGGTCTGGTCTTTGTTTTCAGCTTTGTGGAGAAATAAATGTTTATTGGGGAGCTCCAGTGAGCCACCACTCTGTGCTTCCCCTAGCCACTCTGGTGGCAGCCGGCCCCAGCTTGGTGTAGGTATGGGGAGCGAGCAAATTCTCTTCACCTCTCTGCTGGTCGCTCTATTTATTTTCCACCACGTTGCTTCTTACCCTTTGGCAGGGCAGACCGTCAGGCAGCACGTGTTGGTGTACTGTCCTACCCTGTCGCAGCTGCAGCCAGGCAGCCCATAGTCTGTGTGGGTGCACTCCAAGTTCAAAGGTCTTTTTAAATTGCTGCAGATCAGTATTGCATGGCAAGGGAAGCAAAGTATGCTGGAGTAAGGTCCCCAGGTAAATGATACAGCCATTTTCAGCTGAGTTATCCTGGTTTCTGGCAGTATAACTGTAAAATCTCGTTCTTGTAACTATTTTGGTGAAAAAAAAAAAAATCTGGGCGGTTGAAATCTCACTCGCAAAGTGCCTGCTTTCTTTCAGTGTCTTCCTGTCC